AGAAGTGGTGCTGTGGCTCAAGTGGTAGAGCGCTAGCCTTGAGCTGAAGAGCTGAGGGACAGCACCCAGGCCCAGAGTTCAGGCCCCACGACCGGACCCCAAAAAAAAAATAGTCTACGCGGATTATGAAAGTACCTTCTACAACGGTGTCTATAGTGTAACTGCAGAATAGTTTCATCAGCACCAATCAAAATGCAATGAAATATTACAAATTGAGATAGAAGAGAGAATATCCACACGTACCTTTCTTGTACTAACTCTTACAGATTCGTTTCCACTTGCTTCATTTTCAGTAGTGCTCGAACTGCGCCAAAGAATAAGCATCATTATCTCGCCCAGATGCCAGTATCTGTAAGACTCTTATCTCCAATTAACCACCACAAAGCCAGAAGTGAAGGTGTGACACATTCAAGCGCCAGCTATGAGTGAAAAAGCCAAGTGAGAGCACAAGACCTGAAGTTTAAGCTCTAATACCAGCAATGAAAATGAGAGAGACAGAGACAGACAGGAGGGAAAGGGGAGAAAGAAGAGAGAAGGAAAAGGAGAAAGAGCACTTTCCTTAAAGTTTAAAGGGTTCAGTGCAGAGCTAGGCTGATGACAGTACAGTGGAATTTAACCGGCATGAGGCAGAGAAGAGGGATTCATGGCTGCAAATGAAAATACATGGTTAGGAACCTAGAGCTGACTTCTAAAGATACTTCTCCAGGCCCAGAAGAATGGGAAGTTAAGGTAAAGTATCTGTAAATGAAAAAGCCTGGCACGTTCAAGAGATAGATGGTATTGGTAAGAGAAGAACACACTAGCAAAAGTCAAAGAATTAAAAGAGGCTGAAATCCAAAAGGAGGTACAGAGGAGGAAAAGCAACCCAGACCCTAGGAATGGCACATGCAAATGGCCTGAGATATGCATACTTAGGAATCTGATGATCAGTAGAAACCAAAAAGAATAGGGTGTTTTTACCCCCAGGAATCCAAAAATGAAATCTGTTAATTTCTATAATAGATGAATAGTGATGACATTCATAATTATTTTTTATGTATCATCAAGAGTGTATCTCTAGGAATAAGTATTCCTGATCTTTTTTTTTTTTTTTTTTGGTATTACTGGGACCTTGAGCTTGCTAGACAGGTGCTCCACGACTTGAGGCATCTTGTTTTGTTTTTGAACAGGTTCTCATCTTTTTGCCCGAGAGTTGGCTTTTGAATATAGTATAGCTGAGATTAGAGAAATCATCATCATTCCCAGCTTGTTCATTGAGATAGAGTTTGTCCACTTTTTGCCTGGGCTGGCTTTGACCCAAGATCTCCCAATCTCTACCTCCTAAGTAGCTGGTATTATGGGTATATGTCGCTGTGTCCAGCTATCCTTAGATTTTTCTTGTCTAAGATGTATTTAGCAGACAGTAGATGTTTAATAATTTATAAAACTGAGTTAACCTTTAAAAGTAAAAGCTTCATGTAAGAAACTCATAGCCTTCACATACACAATTACCCATAACAGATTAGAGAAAATTGGAGGACTCCATTTATAGTAATTTCCTCACCCAAACAAAAATAGACCATCTTGGAATAAACAAGAAATGCATAAAATGTACGTGAATAAAATTTAGAACAGCAATAAAAGAGCTTCATTTGCTCATCACTGTACAAACTCCCATACTCTGATTCACTGAGAAATTAACCCAATGAAGATAGCCTGTTGTCTAAGAGATCCAGTTGTCAATTATTTTAGTTATTCGAATAATAACCAACTGTTGAAATTTAAGTTTTGATGTGGCAGTTCTCTTGAGGAAAAACCTAGGAAGTTATCTCAAAAGATATTAAGAGCTTGTATCTTAAAGAATTGCTCCAATGGGTGCTAGTGGCTCACACCTGTAATCCTAGCTACTCAGGAAGCTGAGATCTGAGGATTGTAGATCAAAGCCAGCCCAGACAGGAAAGTTGACGAGACACTTATCTTCAAATAACTACCAAAAAGTTGGAAATGTATCTGTCGTTCAAGTGGTAGAGCACTCTCATTGAGCTAAAGAAGCTCAGGAAGAGCACAAAGTCCATGAGTTCAAGACCCAGGACCCGCACCCCCCAAAAAAAATTTTTTTTTTGCAACAAAGTCTTGGTAAGTACAAAGCAACAATTCCTTGGGATAAATCATACCTTTGTTTCTCTTCTTTTCCTTGAGGAATTAAAGGCACAGGAGATGCACAGTGTCCAAACTCCTCCTCATCGGCATAGATGGCAGTGCTGTGAAAGAGAGGGTCTATAGGAGAGACACAGACCTTGTCAAGCGACAGTCCTGCACGGTGGAGGACAATCATGAGCAGAAACACAGGCCACTTTGCCTGTATTTATGACCTCCTAACTCGATAACTTGAAATTTAAATCATATCACCAATACATGCATATTCATAGATTATAAGGCTGTGCTCCTATACTTACACATTAATGAGCCTAATTTTAATGAGATTAAAAACTGGAATAAGATATCTAACAGTTTTGTCCTCTGCCTGGTAGACCACTGGAGTGAGGTTGTGAGAGGCGACCCATCCAAACTCTATCATCACAAAGCACCCGGGACACAGTGGGCTCTTGTATTTGTGAACGGATGCCTTTTGGAGAAAGATCTCAGGCCTGCTTGTTTCCCCTCCTCTCTGCTTCTGGAGAGCATGCAAAGTTCATGTGAATGAGGCAGAAGCCTCATTCATGGGAAGAGACCTAATGGTCTTGGTGGGGAAGCACAGCAAGATGCTGGGCGGGCACATCAGGAAAGAAGAGCAAAAGCAACAGAGCCTGGGGGGGCGGGGGGAGGGAGGAGAGCTTATGGCAGGGCTGGAGCATGGTGGGGGAGAGATAAGTGAGCCAGATCTGAAGGGGTATCGGGGTCCCTCAAGACCCAAGCAATCATTTCTTCATGCTCAAAGGTTAACATGATAGCAACAATTTAAACTTTTATATTCAATAGCTGCTTAATGAACCTATCAATCTTACAGTTTTAAAATTAGTAATATATTCTGCATTGTTCTCAACTAGGCAAAGGGATTTAGGTACTCTACAGCGGTGCCTACGAAAAGCAAAAAGCCAAATAGATGAATTTTGAATTTCTGTATGTAACCAATCATGCAAGCTGACCCTTACAATTTGACAATATAAAGACTACAATTCAATGTGAAAATGGGCAAGGGTCATGACTACATAGATACTTCTTTAGGACATATACACGGAGAAAAACACTGTGGAATTAATGATTGCCCTTTTCTTCTTTCTTTTCTTCTTTTTTTTTTTGAGACTGGGTCCAGCTATGTAGCCCAGGCTGGCCTCAAACTTCAAATTGTCTTGCCTTGGTTACCAGGATTACAAATGTGCAATACATGATCTGTGCACGATTTCTTAAGGCTTATTGAATATACTGAAAACCAATGTATTTTACATTTTAAAAGGGTTAATTCTGTGGTATGTGTTATGTGTGAGTACCAGGACTTAAGTCAAGGTCTTGCACTCCACTTGGATTTTTAGTGTCATAGCTGGTACCATGTAAGCCAGGCCTTTAATCCACCTTTTTGCTGTTTAATTGGAGACAGAATCTCTCAGACTTCTCTGCCCAGGCTAGCTTTGAACTGAGATCTTCCGATAACAGCCTCCGGAGTAGTTAAGATTGTAGGCATGAGCTACCAGTGCCTGGCCACAAATCAATTTTTTAAATTATAGAATTCCTTTTTAGATTTAGGTAAATCTGATAAGTGATTCAAACTTTTTTTTGACCAAATTATAATAAAAGATGTATTGCAGTGATTATTTCTCATCTTACAAGATATTTTTTAAAACCTGTATTTTCTATATATTAGAGAAAAAAAATCCAGGCACCAGTTGCTCATGTCTGTATCCTAGCTACTCAGGCCAAGAGCTGAGGATTGCAGTTGAAAGCCAGCGCAGGCAGGAAATTTTGTGAGACTCTCATCTCCAATTAACCACCAGAAAACCAGAAGTGGAGCTGTGGCTCAAAGTGGTAGAGGACTAATTTTGAGCAAAAATAGCTCAGGGATAGTACCCAGGCCCTGAGTTCAAGCCCTAAGATAAAAAAAGATGAAAGTCAGAGATAGTTTCCCAAATTTTCTATTCTTGTTCCAGCAAAATGCCTGACTACACTGCCACTGCAAATGCAGGGCCCTTGGCACTCATTCGCTCTGGCCTTGAGCGTGGTCAGTGACACAGGATGCAGCTGTTACATCTGGACAGCTGGGTATCAGCTCACAACCAAGGAACCCAAGAACATTCTCCTTCCTTCCCTGGAGCACTTTGTAAGGGAAAATTCCCCCACTCTTCTCCCTAATGCCCCTTTTCCAATGGCTCGGCCAAATGGAAGTAAGGACACTAAGAAGGGTATCCTGGGGCTGGGAAGGTGGCTCAGTGGTAGATTGCTTGCCTTGCATGCATGGGGCCCTGAGTTCGATTCCTCAGCACCACATAAGCAGATAAAGCCAGAAGTGGTGCTGTGGCTCAAGTGGTAGAACGCTAGCCTTGAGCTGAAGAGCTGAGGGACAGTGCCCAGGCCCAGAGTTCAGGCCCCATGACTGGCAAAAAAAAAAAAAGAAGAAGGGTGTCCTGATATGAATGGAATGTTAATCCATGTTGGTAGAAGAGGCACACTTTGATAACATTCTTAGTGCCAATGTACCTTGAGTTCAAATTATCAAGTACTTCCACAAACATTGATATACACAGACAACTGATTTTTTTCCTCCTAGCTGTCCTGGGGCTTTGCTGTCCCTGAGCTTCTCGGATTCAAGGCTAGCATTCTACCACTTGAGTCACAATGCCATTTCCTTTTTTATCTGAGTAGTTTATTGGAGATAAGATAAGAGTCTCATGGACTTTTCTGCCCAGGCTGGCTATGAACTGTGATCCTTGGATCTCAGCCCCCTGAGTAGCTAGGATTACAGGTGTGAGCCACTGGCACCCAGTTCACAACTGGTTTTTATGTGTCAAGACCCTTCCAATTTTTCTATCTAGCTAAATGCTGTGACTGAAGTCTTCTTAGGAGAAAGATTTAAACACTAATGGAGCCGGGGGCTGGTGGCTCATGCCTAATCCTAGCTACTCAGGAGGCTGAGATCTGAGGATCACGGTTCAAAGCCAGCCTGGGCAGGGAAGTCCAGTCCCCGGGCAGGAAAGTCTGTGAGACTCTTATCTCCAATAAACCACTCAAAAAACAGGAAGTGGCACTGTGGCTCAAGTGGCAGAGCGCTAACCTTGAGCTGAAAAGCTGAGGGACAGCACCCAGGTTTAGAGTTCAAGCCCCACAATCCCCCCCCCAAAAAAAACCCAAAAAACAAAAAAACACTAACCAAAGTTTTCATAAGGTTCTTCATCTTTCTCATTTCTGGAGAGCACAGAATTCTCAGGAAAGTCAAAGGTGTCAATAGGCCTGTGCTCTTGAGCAGCTTTCTAAAAATGAATAGAGTCAAAATCACTGAATGGGCACAAACAAGGAACACTACAATCATGATTTACTTAGCAAGGATACTCTTGCTAACACTGCTGTCCAAAGAAATACTTGGCACTTTTGGGAAGTACAATGACTACAATTATAATCTAAGGCAGCGATTAGCAAACTGATTCTGCACAGGACTGAAGAATTGGCCCTTAGGTTTCTTTTGCAACTATACAACTTGGCCAGTATAGTGTATAGTATAGATAGCAATCACTCAGAAAGTAATGGAGTAGGCTGTGTTCCAGCCAGACTTTCTATCTGCCCACCAAAATGGGATCAAATGGGAACTTCATACCATTTAAAAATGTAACAATGATTCTTAGTGGATCAGCTGAATAAAAGGAAGAGGCAGATTCGATATGTACACAAGCTACAGTATGCCTAAACCCCAAGTCTAGGCCTGAGTTTTCTCAGAAATATACGATCTACCTGACCGGTTATAAGCAGTTTTTGGGAGTACATAGGATAGAAACTGTTTATGGGAGAGAAAGTAGCATTCACATTATTATTATTCTGTAGATCTGAGGATTGAACTTGGGGACTTGCATTTGCTAAAAAGCACTCAATCACTTGAGCCAAGTCTCTAGCTCCTTTTTGCATTATTTATTTATTTAGTGCTGGCCCTGGGGCTTTGACTAAGGGCCTCGGTGTTATCCCTGAGTTTCAAGGAACTCAAGGCTGGCATTCTACCACTTGAGCCACAGCTCTACTTCTGGCTTTTTTTTTTTTTTTTTTTGGTGCTTAATTGGAGACTAGAGTCTCACAGACTTTCCAACACAGGCTGGCTTTGAACTGTAATACTCAGATCTCAGCCCCCTAAGTAGCTAGGATTGCAGGCGTGAACCACTGGTGTCCAGTGGCAATGGTTATTTTTGAGGCAGGGTTTCACTTTGCACTTGGGTTGACCTGGTCTGTGATCTTGGTCTGTGATCCTTCTGGTGTTTCCCCATGTCACTAGGGATGAAGCCATGTGCCACTACGCCCAGTTATTGTGTTTCCCAAGTAGCTGGGAATAAAGGTGTGCCCACTGATTGAGTCACTGATTGAGATGGAGTTTCATGAACTTTCTTATGCCTCAGCTGACCTTGAAACCATAATCTCCCCAAGTAGCTAGGATTACAGGCTTCAGCCATCATACTCATCAGCTATATAACTTTATATGTCCGTTATCTGAATATAACTTAAATCAAGATGAGTCAGACAGAAAGTTCTAAAATGTTAACGAAGGCTGTTTTCTCTGCTATATTGGGAACTCTTTTTCCCAATTAAAAAAAATTGGTCATACCAAAAAAAAAAAAAACTTACAAAACTGAAATTCTCTCAACATGTTCTGTCATGGTCAACAGTGAGAAAATTACATTAAAATACAAATGGCTTACTTACATCTTTCATGAAATGTGTTCTTCCTGCAGTGTTCTTTGGATTTTCTGTACTACTATACAACAAACAACAACAACAAAAATAAGATGAGACGTTAGAAAAAAAGCTAAATGACTGTCCCATAACTTCCAAGCATTTTCTTCCAAAATTATATTCTGCAGTAGTTGCACAAATAGTTTGCATCCAATGGAACTTGAATTATGGAGAATCTTTTAGAAAACAGAACCTGTACTGTGTAAGTTCAACAACTAGAAAATAGCCTTAGCTCTGTAGGCTGAGAAAACTCTCTCTCCTGCTGTGATCCTTATCCTTCTGGCCTAATCAGCTAGTAGGGAATGACTGCAGAACTGACCAAACAGAGCAGCCTTTTCTATCCCAGGCCTGGCTCTCTTACTAAATTTTCTCATTTAACTCTAATGACAGGGGGAGGTGGAAGGTATGCCCATGTTACAAAAGAATACTTGTCCAGAGGAGTACACAGGAAGAAGGGAGGCCTTAACTAAAGTCCGCACTGCTTCAGATCTGGAGCCTGCTGTCTTAATTCCCACCCACTTTATTCTTCCCTCTGTTGGACAATAAAAGAAAAAGGATAAAGCTATATTTTTTTTTTCTTGGAAGGTTAAAGCAAACGAATGCAACAATAGTGACTACAAGAAAAAACTGGAAAGAACAGTGGCAGGAAATACATATTAATAACTGTAAGCCAAGTGCTGGTAGCTTGCCTGTAATCCTACCTACTCAGGAGGCTGAGATCTGAGGATCCATTTGAAGCCAGTCCTGGCAAGAAAGTTCCTGAGTCTTATCTCCAATTAATCACAGAAAAAGCAGGAGGTGGCACTGTGGCTCAAGTGGCAGACTGCTAGCCTTAAGCAAAAGGAGCTCAGGGACAGTGCCTAGGCCCAAAGGTCAAGCCCCAGGACTGGTAAAAATAAAAATAAAAAATATTAAAATAGGGCTGGGAAGGTGGCTCAGTGGTAGAGTGCTTGCCTTGCATGCATGAGGAGCTGGTTCGATTCCTTAGCACCACATGAGCAGAAAAATCCAGACTCAAGTGGTCTCTCAAGTGGTAGAGCCAATATTAGCCTTGAGCTGAAGAGCTGAGGGGACAGTACCTAGAGTTCAGGCCCCATGACCAACCAAAAAATAAATAAAAATATTAAAATAATAAATTGTAGTTAGTCTAGTGAGTACGGACTGAGCTTCCTCTATGAACCAGCCATTGCCAAAGGGTACTAGAATAACTGGAATAACACAGTGCAGAGTCCCTGACCTAAAATATGCAGGCACATTAAAACCATATTCTTCAAGTCCCATTTGTAGGGAGTAAAATCAATTTAGTGCATCTGAACCAGTATTACCTCTTATTTCATATAATTTTACACTTACGGAAAATTAGCAAAACTAGTACAAGGACCTTCCATACAACTTTTGTCCACATCTATCAACTATTTATACTGTTCTCTGTGTTTGTATATTTGTATCTATGGTAATTCTAAGACTCTGCAGCCCTAAATATTTCTTGAATAATCATCCTATAATTTCTCAAGTAAAAAAAATTAATACTGATATAATTATACAATCAATACCTAAATTCCATCAATTGCCTTATAATATGCTGTAAAGTTTCAACTGTTTCAATTTTGTTAAAAGGAAATACAGAAGAATATAAAATATAGGATTTCACTGGATGTAGTATTTCCATAAGTCTTGTTTGGTTTTGTGTGGATTAGTGTGAATACAAACACATGTGTACTACTTTTTAGGTAAAATCTTACTGTGAATTGCAGAATTTTTTTGTTGTTGTTGGTCATGGGACTTGAACCCTAGCCTGGGCACTGTCCCTTAGCTCTTCAGCTCAAGGCTAGCACTCTACCACTTGAGTCACAGGGCCACTTCCGGTTTTCTGAGTGGTTTATTGGAGATGAGTTTCATGGACTTTCCTGCCGAGCTGACTTTAAATGGAGATCCTCAGATCTCAGCCTCCTGAGTACCTAGGATTATAGGCGTGAGCCAGCAGTGTCCAGCTTAGAATTTTTTTAAAGCAACATTACTGAGAGCAGTGGTTTCCCAACTAGAGGTCAGTGGCAGAGGACTTGCCCTGCATGTATGAAGCAGAAATCAAAAGCTATCAATGATTCATCTGAAGGGCTTGTTAAAAACAGATTGTGCGCGCGCGCGCGCGCGCACGCACGCACGCACGCACGCACGCACGCACGCACGCACGCACGCACACACACACACACACACACACGATAACATCATGAATGGATTCTGGGAATTAAGGAAAGTGACTTCTGAATGTTGCAAATATAAACTTCTTAACCCAAATTCTTTCACCTGTGTCTCGATGCTGAAAAACTCGTTAGGCTGGACTCCAGGTGGAGCTTCCAAAACATGGAAGTTTTTGTCATAATCATAAACAAAACTGTGTTGAAGGTGCAGTAGTGTGCTTTAGGAGACAGAAGGGTGAATACTGTGTCTGAATCCTCCGCCCCTCCAAAAAAAAAAAAACACCTTTAAGATAATAAATCTCACTGGTCAGTTAGATATGCTTTAACTCTTTTCAGCTGGTCAGCTGATGTGCTATGCTGCTATATTCCTTCGAAATTCTCTTCCCCATTGGCCACAGAGTGCAGTCTGGGTTTTGTTCATCTTCCTGGTCGGCTACTCCAACATCTACAGACACCCCCCCCCCCCTGAGTTTCCACGGAAGAATTCCTGAGGAGTACATTTAATTCCCCAAAAGTCTTCCAGCCAGATCCAGGCCTAGTCTAAGATGCCATCCAGACATGGCCAGACAAGGCCAGAGTCGCTTGTAGATTACCTTTTAGAGTGCAGTTTTGCAATCTGTCTTTTAAACATATAGCCTATCGTTACATTCACCTTTTAATAAAATTAACATGCCTGGGCCACCACGGAATTCCCTTACAGCATTTAGGATTTAGGGCAAAGCAGCAAAAAACAGCAGCTTGGTTCTCAGCTCTCTGGTCTGTGCTGGGTTTTTGTTTTGCTTCCCCCAACTTTTTTTTGTCAGTCCTGGGGCTTGAACTCAGGGCCTGGGCGCTGAGTTCTTTTGCTCAAGGTGAGCACTCTACCACTCGACCACAACACCCGTTCCAGCTTATTCTGTTTACGTGTCACTGAGGAATCGAACCCGGGACTTCATGCATGCTAGCCACCTTCGCAGCCTGCTCTGTCTTTTTAACGGCAAAGACAACAGAGTTAGACAGACAGACAGATACTTGCAGACCTCTACCCCGCCTGGGAACGTCTTCCGGGCTCCAGGACTTTAGTACCCTGCCTGTAGTCCCGCCCCTCCTCCCCGCACGGCCGTACAGACGTGTACACTGAGGCCCCGCACGCACAGATGCCTCCTGGAAGTACAGACTGCGGCAGAACCACCGCACCGAGAGCTCGGAACGTTCGCAGCGCCAGCCGCACTCACCCGGGATGTCGCGGAGACCGCACCCGCCACCGCAGAGCCATCTCGCCACTCTCCGCGCCCGCCGAGCCCACGAAATTCCCGCCCAGTCCCACGCTACGCGGACCAGCCAATCAGAGATGACTACGCGCCATCTACCCCGCCCCTCTTCTGGGCGGGCCCAAGGCCCTACTGGAGCGAGAAAAAACCCGGCAAGGATTAGGTGCATGATGGAGCCTTTCAACCAGCTGCTGACGGCGACGGCTAACTACAATCCGGTGCCATGTTTTCTGAATATCGGCGCTCCGAGGGTTTGCAGGGTGGGAAGGGGGAAACACTAACTGGCGGCTGGGCGGGAGCCAGTGAGAGTTGGAACCGAACCCAGGGCTGGCAGCTGCGGCTGGCGCCCAGCTGTCAAGTCAGGATTCGTTGTTTTGTTAGCTCCCCTGATGACTTTGGTGAATTTGGCTTCTTATTCTTCCCTTATTCCTGTATCTCCTCCCTGTTAAACAGGGAGGGTCCCTCCTGGAACTATATTCTTTGATTCTTTTTGTCTTCTTCTTGTTTAAAAATCGACTGCAGTGTAAAAGGAAGGAAAACATTAACTCCAAATGGATGGAAGACCCAAATGTATGAGCTAAAACTATAACACTGAGAAGAGAGCATGGGGCAGAAACATCATGGCATTAGACCTGGCAATGATTTATTTTTTTTACTATGAAACCAAATGCACAGTTTGGGATGATGGACAGCAGTGGTTGTTTGTACAACAAAACCATACATTTCAACTGGTTCCAAAAAACAAAGTGTCAGGGGCCAGAGGCTCATGACTTAGAATCCTCACTCTTCAGGAGGCTGAGATGTGAATATCATGGGTTAAAGCCAGCCCTGCCAGATAAGTCCTCAAGACTCCATCTTCAATTAAACAGCAAAATGCCAGACTGGAGACATGACTAGAGAGCTAGTTGTGAGCAAAAGAACATAAGGGGCTGGGAAGGTGGCTCAGTGGTAGAGCGCTTGCCTTGCATGCATGAGGCCCTGGGTTTGATTCCTCAGCACCACATAAGCAAAAAGAAAAAAGGTGGAAGTGGCGCTGTGGCTCAAGTGGTGGAGCGCTAGCCTTGAGCTGAAGAGCTGAGGGACAGCGCCCAGACCCAGAGTTCAGGCTCCACGCCCGCCCCCCCCCAAAAAAAAAGGAGAAAATAAGGCCTGAGTTCACCTACCATATGAGCACACAAAACAAAGGTTAAAATACTAAATTTTATGTAATATCTATATACATAGCTATAAATATTGTTTGCATGTGTGAGTATTGAAACTTGAACTCAGCTTGTAGGTGCTGTTCCTTAGCTTTTTCCCTCAAGGCTGGCACTTTAACATGAGCCATAGTTCCACTTCCAGCTTTTCTTGGTTAATTGGAGATAAGAGTCTCAGGGAGGGCTGGGAAGGTGGCTCAGTGGTCCAGCGCTTGCCTCACATACATGAGGCCCTGGTTCCATTCCTCAGCACCATATAAACAGAAAAGGCTGGAAGTTGCACTGTGTCTCAAGTGGTAAAGCACTAACCTTGAGCTGAAGAGCTGAGGGACAGTGCTCAGGCCCAGAGTTCAAACCCCACAATCGACCAAAAAAGAAAAAAGTCTCAGGGACTTTCCTACACAGGGTGGCTTTGAAATTTGAGCCTCAGATTTCAGCTTCCTGAGAAGCTAGGAATAGAGGCAAGAGCCACCAGCTACTGGCTTATGTTTATATGTTTCTATATGTATATATTTCACAATAAGAATACTAGAATGTGTTTTATATGTCACAGTAAGAATTTTACAATGTGTTTCAAACATAAAAAAGAATATATAATGTAAAGTTGAAAAACAAACATCCATATAACCACCACTGGATTTGGCCCTAAATAATATACTTAACTTCTGAGTATCCTTCATCCTTCTGAACAATGTCTTCTTCCCATGAGTTTTTTTTTTATCACTCCGATGTTTCTGTGTTGATATATCTCTAAGTGATGTATAATTATTGCATATTTCTGAATGTTATATAACTGATATTTGGTAGGTATTCTACAAGTGTCCTTTCTTACTCAGAACTATGAGTTTTAGAAATATCCACATTGTATCCCATCTGGGTGTAGCTATAACTTATTTTTATTGCATTTGGAACACACTAAGTAAATACATCACTTTTTCCGCCTTCTGTGTGTGGATTCATCAGTTATTTTCAGTCTTGCTATTACAGCAATGAGTCACCAAACATTCTTGTGCATGTCTTTCAGGGCCCACATCTAAAAGTTTCTTGAAAAATAGTCAGTGATGTTAATGCCACCTGGGTTATGTCATTTTCAACTTTGCATTATGATGCCAACTTTTACACAGTGTTCTGTACACTGTAGACTGTTCAATTTCGGCTCCCATCAGCAGTATATAGGATAGCCCTGATTCTTTGTATTTTTATATTTTGACCTATCTGGTTCATTGAAATCTTTGCAATTCCAATGTGTACTTCCCTTAAGTAAAGCAGCTTTTCATTGTTTCTAGGTCATCCCCGTTTCCTCTTCAATGAAATGTGTGTTCAGAAACTTCCCAGAAATCATTTGGGCATGTGCCATGGAAGGTTATGTCGTCCCTCAGGTCTTGAAGGAAGTTAACCACCTATAGGGAGAAATAGGCTTCCTGGAGCCAGTGAAGTTGTCAGTCTCAGGGAAGTGGGTACAGAAATCCATCTTCTGGGAAATAGGTGTTGTTAAACTTCGTGTACTTTGGGGTATGAAAGAAATAAATCAATGCAACTGTGAGAAAGTATTTCTCCATTTAGACATGATTAATCAAACCCCATAGAGACATAACAGTTAATTATGACACTACGCCTTCAGTTCTGCAGTTATGGAAACACGAATTTCCCTGGAAATGAGGGGGTAGGTGAAGGTGGGGGTAGGGGCTGGAAGATAGGAATAAGCAAAATAGATGCTTCAGAGACAGACAGTTCAAGTCCATTACAGAAATGTGTCCTAGGCTATGGACCTAGTCAGAAGGAAGGCAGAATTCCAACCCAAATATTCCAACTTTCAAACTGTCTTAGCACTAGTCCATCATCATGAAGCTGTGTTACTTAGATGATCAGCTTGGCACAGCAGTTCTCAGGTTGGGTGAGGAGAGGAGAGAAGGGCTATTCTGGCGGCACTAGGAAGGGCATTTCACAACAAAGCACTGGATCAGTGCTGTCACATGAAGACCACTTCCAGTGTGCTTTAGGTGCTGTGATTGCTATGCGTACAAATTGGATCCCAAATAGTAATTTCAAAGTGTTCTCTGGCTAGCTGTACTGTTAGAGATGGAAACCGGAGCACCTTTCCAAGCAGAAGAAGTAAAGCCAAGTATGAGGAGGAGTTCAGCTTAGGAACAGGAGAACCAAAGGTCTCCTGGGAGAGCATTAATGGATGGTGGGGACTGGTGAAGGGCAGAAGGAAGAAGAAGGATCTCGTAGACAGGAGAAGCTCCAGCCAAAGAAGATCCAGCCAACGAGAAGACCCTCCCTCCCCAAAAGGAGAGTGGTGTGAGGAGCCATGGCCACTGATTTTTATTTTGAGAAGGTACCTGTGTCATACTGTTTCCTTTTCACCATTGCCAATCTTCTGCTAATATTTGCCAGACTCACCAGCCTCCTGTAGGTATGGCTGGGGTAGTAGAGAATGAAGGATTGTGTTTAGGATGGGGTGTGGGGGTGGGAAGGAGGCTAGGTATGGGTATGGGAGAGATGGAGACAGTGTGGTTACCCCACTCCCAGGAAACCTGGAGAAGGTAAATATCTACTGGAGGATCTCAGAGATACCTCCAAACAGATCACTTCTGGATGTTGGAGGCTACCTAGGTTTGTAGGTCTTCAAATTATATAAAATATGGATGGGCGTGGTGGTGCCCACCTGTAACCCCAGCTACTTGGGAGGCAAAGGTAGGAGGAGCATGGTTGGAGGCAGTCTGGGGAAAAAAAAATGTGAGCCCCTATCTGCAAAACTAAGAGCAAAAGGGCTGAGGGCATGGCTCAGGCGCAAGAGCCACACATGAGGCCTTTGAATTCAACCCTAAATACGACAACCAAAATAAAAAGTTTTCATCAAATATTTTCATGTTTGGGAAACTGGGGGGTGAGTCCTAGAGATATTATATGTAAACAACAGAAAATAAATCCAGCACGGTAAGGCATGGAGATCAGAGGCAAAAACATGGTGGACCCTAGATTCTTGGGAGAGTCTTCCTAATGGTGCCTTTATTTTCCCCCTTCCCACTGGTAATTCTGTACTGTGTCCACCAGAGGGCAGATAGAGAAAGGGGTTGGAGACTCGCACGTGTAATGGAGAACTCATTTTCAGACCTAGTAAACAGCGGTTCAAAGTCAGTTCAAGATTAGTAAAATGAGATGGCTAACCTGCCTTTACCTAACTCGTTTTTGCCCCTTTATGTGAATTTTATTCTTCAATAATCTCCACAGATTTCCCTTAAAGTAAAAGTCTGGCTTTCTACAATAAAGAGGATATTTTGTTTCTTCTCAAATTTTCCTACTTGGTTGTTTACTTTCCCAAGCACTTAGTGAGTACTGGGTAAACAGGAATCTCTCGCTATTCTTATCAGTTTTAAGCAGACCAACTGCGCAACAAGTATAAGGATGACAGTGTACTACAAGCTGAACTGTCCCAAGAGGGCTAGAGGGGAGGAGGGAAGGAGGAAAGTCTCTTGGACCAGCCCTTGAAGAGGAAGTGAGACCCTTGAAGAAAAACCAATTCTCTTATCTTTTCAAACTGGAGGGGAAGAAAGGTTTTTCCACTTGTTGCCATCAGCAGTGACGTCATTCCTTCACATGCCAGATACTTTCCAACACTTCTTGGCTCTCTTACCGGACAACTAAGTTTACTTTCTCTGGAAGTAATGTGGTCTTACTTTTTCCAGAGCTAACTGGCACGATTCCTACCCAAGCTGAGCTCACGCGGCTAAATTGGTCTGAGCAGGACTTCAGGACTGGCAATGTCACATGCCTCAGATTCCATTCCCAGCACCCTGAAGCGCTAG